GTTGATTTTTTTTTCTTTGCTCAAATTAGCGTGGAATGTTAGTGAATTCGACATAGTCCACAACATTGGTCCTTGCAACATTGACAACAAGCAAAAAAAGCAAAAAAAAGCTTTTTAAAAAATTTTTTTTTTTATAAACAAAAACTTTTCTGATTTTTTTTGAATTTTTTGTCTTTTGCTAAATGAAGCCTGCAAAATCCACTTTTCCAGAGTAAAATAAAACTAAATATTTCAAAAAAAAACTAACCTTATGTTGAAAGAGTAAAGCAAAAACCTAGATATTCCGCACTTTTTTCGAAAGTCTGAAAAACAAGTGCTAATTTGCATTTTTGCTTTGTATTTCTACGGCTTTTGTATACTCGAAACATGCTTATCTCGTTGCGGTTGAGCAGTGAACTACTAATTTTTGGTTAATCTTTCCAGAAATGGTATATATTTGAATGAAGTTAGATGAGAAGTAAATATTTTCTGTACAGAAAACACAGAAAAATAGTAAGATTATCTATATAAACTTTCTATCGTGATTAGAAGTTTTAATTGGGTACGAAGTTGGGTACGACCATCGTTCAGCCATCTGACAATAATTGATGCTCTGGGCTGTATGTTACAAAAATTTTCAAGGGCTGCAAGGATTTGAAATGTGACCAGCTGGCCAATTTGAGAAAACTATTGCGTGAGAAATTTCCAGCTTTCTTTCAGTGTAAAAACCTTCAAATCGAGTAATTTGCACAAGTTAAAATAAGTAAAACAAGACTGCTCGTATCAGGGCGAATCCCTGAAAGTTTTGACTGCCTTTTAACGTTTATGGAGCAGTAATAACATAAACAACATAAAAAAATTAAATGAAATAAAATAAAATGAAAAAAAAACTTTTTTCTAAAATTTGATAATTTTTCTATGATGAAAATCATCCCCCCACACGCCATATAAAGTACAAAACAAGAGATCTCGCTCCTTGTATCAAATCAATTATGGCAAATATGCTTCTTTCAACCAATTTGGAACGATTTCTAAGACGGATTAAATCTCCGCTTACGCGTTAATAGCGCGAATTATATCGCGCGTTAATTGTCCCAAATTGGTCAAAATGGCCAAAATGGCAACTTTTAAACCCTCATAACTTTACGAAAAATACTCACAGGTGAAATATCTTTTCAAATTTAAGCTCAGGACAACAATACCTTTTGAATGATATGGAAAAGTTCCGTCAAAAATAGCATGTTAAAAAGTCGAAATTTGTCTGAAGAAAAAAAACCCACCCCGAGCACAAATCTTCCGTTACTTTCGTATCGAAAGTCGGAACAACAAGACTGCTCGTATCAAGGCAAAACCTTGAATGTTTTTTAAGGTCTATGGAGCAGCAATGATAAAATTAAATGTAATAAAATAAAAAAGAATTGTAGGTTTTAAATTTGAAGTTTTTTTTGTGAAAATCATCCCTGCACGCAATATAAAGTACAAAGTGGTAGATTTAGTTCCTAGTAACAAATCAATAATGGCAAGCAAGCTTTCTTCAACCAATTTGGAACGATTTCTACGACGGATTAAATCTCCGTTTACGCATTAATTGTGCCAAAAATATCGAGCGTTAATTGTCCCAAATTGCCAAAAACGGCTTTATTTAAACCCCCAAACCTTAACAAAAAATAATCACAGGTGAATAATCTTTCAAATTCAAGCTAAGTACAACAATACCTTTTGAATGATAAAAAAAAATTCTGTCAAAAATGGCTAGTTAAAAAATCGAAATTTGTCTGAAGAAAATAAAACCACCCGAGCACAAATAATCAAAACGAGCACAAAATTTCATTATATAGACTACACTCGAGAGAAAAACTTCCAGTTATTAGGGTTAGTAGTTTTTAGGGCTGTGTCCTAATACGAGCAGTCTTCTTGTTTTGAAAAACTGTGCAACTTATTCTTTTAAATTCCATGCGGCATGATTTAAGTCCTATTGGCGAGCTACCTTCGATTGAGTGTAAGCAAAGAACCAGGAAAAATCTCAAATTACTTTATGATTATCTTACATGGATCCTCGTTTTTAAGCGGAAACTATAGCATGAAAAATTTCTTACGATTGGAGCTAAGCGTTTCGATACTGGTCAATTATTCTAAAATTCAGATTGAACATTTTAACCCAAACTTTTTATAAAGTTATTGAACAGGGCAAGATCTGTTTTGAATTGATAAAAATTAGAAATGAGGCAAAAAAAACGTTTTATGATTAAATAAAAGCGTAAGAAATTGCGGTCATTGAGTGCAGCATTTCTGATGAGCAACAATTTATTTTTTGGCTTCTTTCTTCTGGAAGCTCTGACGTTATGAAGCTCCATGCTTTCAGAATAAAGTAAGAGGCGTTTGATTGTAATAGCCCGCGGCGAACATCAGAGAAAGTCCGAATATTTCAACTGCCTTTCAAGATACCTTTCAAGAGACCAGGGAGACAATATCTTTCGCATGGTAAGAAAATGCCATCAAAAACAACTAGTTAAAAAGTTAAGTATTATCTGCAGGAAAAAACCCACACGAGCAGAAATATTTCGTAACTTTGTTAGAATCACTTATAGAATATCAAGGTATAGACGTAGTTCTCATAGACAGACCAGTTATAAAGCCGCAACACACGTATGTACACAACTTAAAAAGTTTGATAACCACTTCTTTGGCTCATCAATTTTGCACTTTTGTTCTCATTTAAAACTGGTGAATTGAAAAAATCTGTGTTTAAGTCTGATTGGGATGACAACGGGTACAATAGCCCAAAATTAAATAGGATGAATACGGAAGGTATTTTGGGCCGCATCTGATGAAAGCAATTGTGTTTCCCCTCCTGTCTGTCCAAAACGACAGTCAACGCCTTCGGTTACATTTTGACACGCTTTTTATTTGATCTCAATTTAATCAATAACTTCAAATAGAAACTGCATGCTTAAGGATGAAAATCTGAAATTGAACTAGAAAGCTGAAAGTTAGATTGAGTATGTTGGTAAGGTAGGTTTGCGACCTAAGCAAGCCATAAATTAGCCATTACATTTTAACTTCACTAAGGACGATTCGCTGTTATGCTATAGTTTCTGTTTCACATAAAATATGTTCAATGACTAAATATGTTTTTTTTAAATAAGCTAATGATGATCTATCTCCTGACAAAATTCTGAACGATTTTTTTGAACTTGATAACCTTGAAATCTGCATTGGTAAGAGCTAGCGCTGGATGAACAGGAAAATATCATACCATTTGACTTGTCTCCAGAAAGAAAGTATATTCTGCTCAATTTATTTAGTTAGGTCGAAGACCTCTAAAAATCAATTATGACAGTGGCACCCAGGGCTATATTCTCCCAAGGTCTCCCGGATTCTCAGTCGAAAAGTTGGTGGTTCGATGCTCACCATGATCTGAGGTCGTTGCTGGAGGGAAAGATAACAATTCTCAGCCCAAAAAAGTAACAAAAAAGTTGAATTTTGTTCTAGAGAAGGTCTCAAAATCGGTTCTAAGTACAGAGCTGAACAGCTCGTATGTTGTTGCTTTTTCCTCGAGGACAAATGGTCTCAACTTGAAACTTAACCAGTGTGAACAAATAGTTTTTATGACCGAAAATGTGATTATACCAACTTTGCATTTGGGATGACAAGTCCTTGAACGCACCAATCTGCACTGACGGGCTCGGAAACAACTAATAGCTGCAGATTAGTCTCCGGCACCCACGTGACATAGTACCATCGGGAGGCGCCGTCTGCCGAGCAGTTGTATACTTGTCCCGATGTCAAGTCCGAGCATGTCTTGATGCGGTCCGAAAAGGGGGGCGTGTCAGCGCTTGATCGCTTGAAGAAAAGTCGGCCGGCTGTGAACTAATTTGAGGAAAGTTCTGTTTTTATTTCTCAGATGGGATTACTTCTCATTTTTTGAATTTAAAAGCATATTTTTGATAATATATTAAATAATTTTTGATACAATTTATTCTCAAAAAAATCAGCTTACATCCAGGTCTAAAGTTTTTGAGTTATGCTTTGACCTGTTCGATCAAAATATGGTTTTTCAAAGTTCCCGGCTGAAATTTTGCTCATAGTTTCTGGATGTTGGTTGTTCAGGTACTTTTCTTCCATCTTGAATATTTATCACATAAGGTCTGGGTTAAACATTCTCAATTCAACTTCAATGCTCAATTTTCTTTTTTGACTTAAAACATGTGGTCAATTAAACTCCTTATTGGGAATTGACAAGATGAGAATAATTTTAAATTTTTTTTTTCGCTGGCATCAATTTATCTTCAACATCGCTGTTGAGCTCGCAGAAGCGCTTATACTTTAGCAAACGCAAAGTTTTTTTCCGAAACATTTTGTTTGTGATTTTAAAAATATTCTGTTCTCATCTTAAAAGAGTTTCCTATTATTATTTGATAGTTTTTGTTGTTGTTTGAAGGTTTTTCAAAAGTATATCAACAAAAAGTGAACAATCTTTGCGAAAAACATGTTTTGTTGCAATTAGCAAGTCAAGCTCTGTAATTATAGCAATTAGTTTTAATTAGCAATTAGCAAGTCACACCTTTTAGAGTGTCATTTCCGCGCTTTGCGTCAGCATCATTTTGTTCAGGAAAAACCATTTAGAACAAGGACTCTGATGTGAACTTGAATACACATTGCATGCATAAGGAATTCAGATCCAATTAAGTATTACTTTGAATTTTAACTTTTAAAAAATGAAAAAAAAATTAAAAGGAAAAATATTTAAAAAAATTGTTTTGTAAGTTTTCAATTTATGTTTTTTCCATAAGTTTTTAGATTACTGGGCTGCGAACAATCTTTACTAGTTGCATAGCAGTCGGCTGCCTGTGTTATATTAAGGAGTGGATCTGATGTTCAAGAATCTTTCAAGAATTTTTCAACCATTTTCTTACATCGACGAAAATGATTTACCGGCGGCTCTCTTGGCAGGAAAATATTTTTTGAAAAATAGCCTTAACTGACTACCGTAGCTTAAACACATTATTTATAATTAGTAGCTATTCAACTGCTACCAGTACGACAAAAAAAGAACTTTCCTTGTGTTCCAGAATAGTACACGATGTAGGATATCCATGCGGGTGGTCGTAGTCTTGGGCATGGGTGAGGTGCACATTGAAAAAGTTAGCCCAAAAGAGGTACAAAGCATTGACAGGAAATGATAAAATAGCACACATGGAAGAAGTAAATAAGGCAAAAATCTGATTGAAGTTGACGATAAAAACCGAGCAGATCAACTCAGAAAGAAGTCCCACGACATGAGACGAGAAATTAAAAAATGAGCGGATTTTAGTTGATGAAGATTCTTTGAGGTCGAATATTCTACTAGGGCACGTGCAGAGATGGTTTTCGAACAGGGTCTGACTGAAAACGCCCTTTTGCACCAGTTTTTGCATCACACACTGCTCGACTGCAAACAGGGACCGCCCTGAAATTAAATAAGTTTTTTTTATTGGCTATCTTACCAAAAATTAAATGATTGTTTATTGTTATATCAGATTAATTTCCCATAAACAGATTTTTTTAACAAGGCCCGCATGGCAAGAAGGAGGAGAATTCAGTCTAAGGCTCAACTTTTTATAGGCCCACTGTGAAATTGGGTGAAGATGTAGATGGTTCACTTCAATTTAAAAGCGTTTCTTCCTAAACACAAATTTTTCTTTAATACTACAAACACGCGTGGAAAAGAACATTACGAGGCCAAACTGTGCACTGGATAGGCGCACAATTTTGTGTCTGTATGTTCCTGGATTCCAGAGACAAGTCTTTAAACATGTTCCAAAATGTAAGTGGATTCCACTTACAAAAGTTTCGTGGAATCCGCGTACAAATACATGTAACGTAAATTTTGTCGGCATATTTGTTTTGTTGCAGATTCCGCAACAAGCAAATATAACTAGTTGATCTGAATTCCGCAATTTGAAAATTATTTCGCTAAATGTAAGTGGAATCCGCAAAATTTATGTGGAATCCGCAAATGTAAGTGGAATTTGCAAACAAAATGCGGATTCCATTTACAATTTGTGGACTACACTACAATTTGTGGATTCCTCTTACAATTTGCGGGTTACGCGTACAGTTGCGGATTCAGCAACCGCTCAATGTAACTATACTCATGTCTTATTGTTTGTTTGTGAATTCCACAAACTGTTCTGGATTCAGCAAATACAGTTGCGGATTCCGCAAATTCGCCTATTTTTAGAGCAATTTGTTTGTGGAATTCAAAACAGCAAAGACGATCAAAGAAAAGTAGCAATGTTGCGGACTCCGTTTACAATGCACAAAATGCACAGTTTGGCCTCGTAATAAAGTTCTGTTAAATTATACATCCGCCCACCTCTCAGCCAAATCCGGGTTGAGATATCCGACATATGTTTTGATCAGCTGCATGCGCAGAAGAAGGGGGAGGGCAATTTGATTTTCCGAGCTCTCTGAGAATTCTCCAAAAAGTCACCCCTCAAATTGAGTTTTGTTGTCGCCGAAGGCTCCCTTAGAACAACTTTGAGGGAGACCCTTTGAAAAATTTTAGCAACTAGAATTGAAGGTGAGGGCGGTCGCATTAACTTCCAAACAAAGTCGAAAACATGAACGAAACATTGTCGAACACTGTTTCGAGTGATTGTCGAACACAAGGTCCAACAAAAAATCGATCAGAAACTTTATCGACACAAAGTCAAACAAATGTCAAATTATGGTTCAACCTATACTGGAACACATTTTCGAACCAAATAAATATATTGAAAAAATAAGAGCTTTAAAAAAGAAGATTGATTGGAAAAAAGCAACTTTAAACGGAAAGGAAAATGTTTAATTACAATTACAGACCAGTTGCAAAAAAAGTAAGAGTATCCAAGATTATTGAAAGAGTTGTGAACTCTCAATTGACTGTTTTTCTAGAATGTAATAAGCTTCTAGATACCAACCAATTCGCTTTTAGAACTAAACGTTTCACAGAAACCTGCTTGTTGAAAACGATTGAAATTTTAGGTTAACTTCACGAAAACACTTCAGTGATTGTGCTTGGATTTGACTTATCAGCAGCTTTCGATACCAGAGAATGAAAAGGTTTGAGTGATACACTACAAAGGCGGTTCATTACACAAGAAGTGTCTAACAACTGGTTAATGTCCTAAGCTAGTAGCCGAAAACAAACAGTACAGGTCAATAACGAAATCTTGCGAAAAATGGAAATAAAGTACGGATTCCCACAAGGGTCAACTCTTGGTCCAATCATTTTCATTATGTAGTTGACAAAGGTTGGCGATTATCTCAAATCTCTTGGTCTTTCTTACCAAATCTACGCTGCTGACAACTTGATAGATGTATCAATAGACCGAAAAGCGAAAGATTCAACAAAAACATCGAAAGTAATACAATTGTAGCGAAACTAAATACAAAGTTCCATCAGCTGAAACTGAAGATCAAGCCAGGCAAAACAGAAACACAAAAAAAAACGATAACTGAACAGGATCTCGAAACACAGTTTAGTCCAGAACGCTGTTTGTCGGTTGTCGGTTCGCATTTGGAATGAGGAAACACGAATTCAGCAAAGAGCTAAGATACAAATTATATTTTGCACCTATCAAAAAACTAAATGTTTTTAAATCAAGTTTTTATGCATAGAAAAAAAACTGAAAACGTATCTCTTGAAAACTGCTAAAATGCGTTTCCAATTCTTATAAGCATCGCGGATCGAGAGAAAAAAATCGAGTTCTCAGCAAGAAGAAGTGCTCAATTGATTTGAAATCATCCACGTTGACAATGTGAAAGAATGCTTCAACATTATTCTAGAATCCTCTCTAGTGTTCGGTGTTTACCTTAGAAGCACAATCCCTATTTCGTGCCAAGGCGGCGCAGAATACAATCCTGTGCAATGGCAATATCATGGAAGACTCAGAGAGGTTCAAAGCTCAAAAAACCCTTATAATGGGATGAATAAACCATCTGTTTGACAAAGAACAAAAAAACGATGAGCCACGTTAAGACTTTGGATGAGACTTTGAATTCGTATGCTTAAGTTCAAAAGCTTCAATGTCAGATTGATTGAACTTACTGAAAGAAGGAAAAAGTAAGACACTATCAAACGCCTGAATAGATGCTACAGTTACCTAGCACATGAACAGGTAATATTTTGTTTCGTACATAAGTATTTTCGCTATAGGAAGCATACAAAATGGGACGCGTTAGAATCCGAACCTCTTCACTTCCGAGAACTTGCAGCTGACTTCAAAATAGCCTTCAAAATCCTATCAAAAAATATAGGAAAATTTAGTAACATTTCCAAAAAACAATTAAGCAAACCATCTTTTTATTTGACTCGTTCAATTTTGTAATCATTTGTGTCAAATCGATCGAAAGATACCACGCTTGTATCATTGTATCATACGCAGCCGAAACCATTTTACCTTCTGTCGAGTGGGGTCCAAACATAACCAGTTTAGGTCAAGGCAGTCCAAAAACAGAACGCTGGAATGAAACATTATCAAACACAATTTGTTTTTGGTCGATTCGGTCGGAACATAAGCCACTTCTGTTTGAATTACTCGAAACATTGAACGCTTTGAGAAAAAAACTTACAGAAAACAGTTTTTTAAGGTAAATTTGTATTCCAATAGTTCTTGAAGCTTACTGTCTAAAACATGCCAACCTTTCATACCACAGACAAAAATCGCTGTGAGCAAACATGCAGACAAATTTGGAAAGAGTTATTTTCATCACATTCATTGCCTCGCTACAGTTGCAATCGAAATTTTTTATTGAATTCTATGAAGCGCGAATTATATTTTAACAATTCAAATAAGACGAGAGTGTTTTTGTTGCAAACCTAAATCTCTTTATGAGGTGTCTTGCCAAGACTAAAACAAGCCTGATAATTTTTTTTTGTTTAAGATATCACGAAGTATTTTCACCTGTTAAAGATGTGTTAGCAGTTGATGCAATGATAAATCCTCCGTCATCCACCAAATAACAGAGAAAACCGCTTTGGTCTGTACTGCACAAAGCTCCATTTGAGGTGTTATTAAACAATTCACCAAAGAAACTTGTGTCGATAATTTTGCCTAAAACACCAAGAGGAACCTTGGATTCGCGGACTTTGTTCGGATCGATTGAGCGAGTAACTAATTTGGTCACGACTGGGTACGGATTCGCACTAATAGAGGCAACTCCGCTGACTCCAAAGCAATCGGGTAGGGGTTCGATTCCCGAGAAGGTATCTTTGGGGTCATACTGATAACTGACGGTGAACATGAAGGCATCAGATCCTGATGGTAACAATCTTGACAAGGCGAGATGTTTTTTAAACAAAGGCGAGTTCAAAGGGTTTCTCGACATTTGCCACCACAAAGGATCTACGCTGTTGTTGAAAATAATTGATATTCCGCTTGAAGTTATAAGAAATTCATCGAGGTCATAAGGGGTTAACTTGAACCGCCAGAAGGCAGGAATCATGTCTTCTAAAGCTAACTTCACCTCTTGTAGCAAAGACTTTCCATAATGGTATTTTTGGTCGTCGTGAACTAAGCATTCAGTTGAACTTTTATCGTTTCTGAATAAAAGTTTAAGTCCTTCAATCATTTCAGAAGTGTTATTCGAAGTGAACTTTTGTAGCTTAGGACAATAAGGCAAAGGGGCTACAAAAACTTTCCCACATGAGTTTGTAGCCACACACTCAAGTTGCTTTCGAAATGTTACACTTGATTTTGAAGGTTCAGGGTTTTGTAAAATGTCCTGGCACATTTTGCCACATAATGCGTCACCTTCCCAGTTAATGATGTTATTGGCGACAGTTCCTCGCGCTGATGAGGGAATGAGAACCATTATTACAAAAACCGAGCCACTAACGCTTATTCTTGAGTAGAGTAAATCACATATGAAATTATAAGCGTATCGTTCAATATGAATAGTTGCATTAATACGTTTTTCCCGAGCTACTGTTCCAATTTTCAAGCTCAGCATCTTTCGTTTTAGCTCCTCGAAGTCGAAATTGTTCAGATGAAGGAGCTCAGAAACGTCTACGGAAGGGGTATATGGTATTTTTAACTCACTAAGTAAGAAAAAAGAGGAATGGTAAACTATGTGACTCTTTGCGTTAATCATAAGCACAACCGAATCATGACTGAAACCGGCAATTGGAATGCGCTGACCTATTTCAAACAGAGGAATGTCTAGTCCGACAACGCCCAGGAAATGCGGCAGACGCTTTTCGTGGTGATCGGAGTAAAGGTGCCGGTAAACGGGGAATGTGGCTGCTAAGGCGTGACCTAGATTCCGATTCCAGTACTGGATCTCAGGAGCGGAGAAAAAGAGTTTTTGATGATAGTTTAGAGCCATTGGTCGGCTTAGTACCTGTAAATACTCCATAGCTTGCATTCTTACAGCTTCGTTTGTAGGTACTTTATGGAAGAATCCTTTGTTACGACATGCAATCCAGGACAGACTATCGTCCGCATAAACTGAAGAGCCTTCAACGTAAGTGAAGATCCGGACTGATTCTGAAGCCTGCTGGCTGACTTTGGAAAAAGCGTCTTTTGCTTCGCCATCGCCGCCATCTGTTATTACCATCAAAATTTTACTGCATGGGGGAACTACCGCCTCTTCTTCCGTTAAATTTTCGAACAACGAGTAGCTGTATGAAAACATACTTTGGAAATTAGCAATGTTTTCGGCGACTAGACTTTTCTGCATTAATTGTTTTAAAGCTAGTTTATTTCTGTCTGTGGCGCGTAAAAAATTGTCCGAAGGCTTGCTATAGGACTCGTTAAGATTGTCACTAATACATGTCTTGAGCTGAAAAGGCATATCGTGAAAGCCAATTATGCTTACAAAGTCGTTATCATTTAAAGTGTCTAACAGCTGTGATGCTGTATTTTTCATGAGTTCGAGAACTAACCCATAAACACTACCCGATGCGTCTATAGCAATCAGCATATGCTTCGGGGGAGTTGAACTCTGAATGTACCAATGGTCAAGTCTGACGTCATAGAGAGTCGGCAGATCCAGGGGCGTTCCAGGGTACACCCGAAGCAAGCCGAGAGGAGTGCCGAAGTACGACCAATAAGTGTTGTTGTTGCTTTCGTGAGTAAAATTGAAAATATCTCTCAACCCCCTCGACCAAGCTAGATCTTCCCTAATTCTATCAGAGCCCTCGTAAATTTCAACTGGTAAATGAAACGACGTATAATCTGTCGTAATCCGATTATGTAATTTCGAGTTATAATCAATTAAAGAGCTCACGTTTAAATCTCTCAACTCAGGTGCGTTCGAAGATGAGTCGAAAACGAAGTCTTTCGCGTGATTTTCTATTCGTTCAGCCGATTCTTGTACCGAGTCGGCAAATGACTGCAAATACTCGGTGAGACGAGCGGCCGACTCAAGAATTACATTGCTGTACTCGTCATTTGATTCTTTCTCGTATTGCGGAACCCATTTAGCATTTGCCCAATGTTCAGAATCACGAAGAATTCTATCCAACATGTTCCAGTCCTTTTTGAGAAGTGTTTCGGTCAAAACTGATGAAATACTTTCAGCTGAATCAGAAACGAGATTCGTAACTACACCGGAATTGGCCAAATTGGAGCAAATAATCGACTTTGAAAAAAATGAACACACAAAAACTAATGGAACAACTTTAAATAAATAATGAATATTGAACAAGCGCACGTTGGGAAAAATTACAAGGAGCGACATTTGGGGGGCGAGATTGTGGCGGAAATTATTTTTGAGGAAGTCTACCAAAATACTTGGGTCAATTTAGTGGATGGTGTTATTGGGGAAATAATCATTGAGAATACCTGTCGATACACAATAGGAAGGCATTAGAGAGGCAGGTGACGATTGAACATATCAGATCTATCGGAAGACGGCGCCGAAAAATAATCCCCGGCTAGCAGCTCAGCTCAGAAAACAGAAGCCTGAAGCGGAGGCGAGCCACAAGAGTATTTATAAGAATTATTAATTATTAAATAGAAAACAATATGACCGGTTGGCAATCTATACGCGCGGATAAATCAGCACAAATATTGTCCTCCATATTGGTAAGGAGCTCTCACTCCATCGACAATAACAGCAGAGATGAAAGTAAAACAGTACCCAAGTTCATTCCACATAATGTCATAAATGCAGAAAACAGCTCCTGGTCCAGCTTTCAATTCTTAAACAATTCAAATAATTTAGCATTGGTGCACACTTTTGAAATACTGAAATTATTCAAATGTTAAAATAAAAATTATTGTTAAGTTGAGCGGGCAAGTTAAGTATGTTCATGGTTCTGATTAATGATGGATTTCGTTTCGGAAACACTCAAGAATCATTCGAGCTGGAGGAAAGCCAGTATATTTTTTATTGTAATTTTATGTTTAAAGCTCACTTTTTGGGCAAAAAACAAGGCTGTTGTGACAAAAGAGGCTGTTCATCTAAGACAAAAAATATCACTAAAAGAGAGCGAAAAATATTGCAACTAAATAATAGAATGTAACTAGTCCATGAACACTAGATAAAAGAGAGAAAACAGGGGAATAATAACTGAAAGTAGGTAAAAATAGATCAAGTCACTCGTAAAGGTTATTCAAAACCTGCAGACAAAAGGAAGTAAATATAATTCAAAGATTCAAAGAAAGTAATTTGCATTTTTCGAGAATTTTCAAAAAGATGAACAGCTTATGGCAATTGCAATTTGCTAGAAGATGAGTTGTTCTGAAATTGCGAAAAGCGTCATTCCTAAAGTTTTCATCGCCACTATAAAAATTTGGAATGGAAATCAAATTAGACTATGGAACCTTTTTCCATGAAGACCAGAGAACAAAATATCAGTTAGTTTTTACCGGTATTTTTTTCAGCCAAGCCAATTAGCGAACAATGTTGTCTTGTGTTTTTGACATTTTCTCTGCAACTACTGAAGATTCATGGTCGATGAAAAGAACTTTACCAGATCAAAATCTGGATGATCAAATTTTGGTTGCTTTTTTTAAATCTGGCGTGACAAATCGTATTTTCGCTAGCGAAGTATGTTTATTGTTCATCCATATAATGCGGAAAACCAAAAAAAAAAATCAGTTGAAAAAATCTTGTCTGGCATCAAAAAATCAGATAAAATTGTTTCTGTGAACGATAAGTTTCATTTCTGCAGTGGATCAAAAAGAAAATGAACACAACGAATAAAAAAGTTGAAAAATACTAATGACTGCGTCAACTAGGGAATGATTTTATCTGAAAATTTCTGCGCGCATGATTGAAACTAATCATCAAAACAGCTAAGTAGGAAAGCTTTACAAAGTTTGACTGTTCCCCGATGCATCACAGTTTGAGCCTCGCAACTTTGAGTTCACAGAGTCAAAATTTTGTGCTGCTTATAATTAGTTTCAATTAAAAGAACAACTCATTGATGAATTAATGATTGACTAACTATGAAAAGCGCATCCTGTTAAAACAAAAAATTGTTTGACAAATGACTGTACTGTACTCAAAACCGTTGCAGAATCCGGTAAAACATGTTGAAAAAAACGACATCGTTTCAAAAAGCTGGCCTGAATATTGAAGAGTTTCAGTTACCTTTTCATTTTTAGCTTAAAATTTAGTTAATCTGTTCTAAAAACATTTTACAATCTCTAGTTTTATCCGTTCACATTAAAGAGAATTTTGAGTTATTTTTTTCGTATAAATTTGATCGGAGAAATCCCTGCTATTTACACAGCAAATGGCTGCTCTTTTTGCTTATAAAACTTTCAAGATGCCCGTATTGATTATTGCGGTGTTATATTAATATTCATTGTCTATTTTTGAAAAACATATTTTTTGTTCCGACTTTCGATACGAAAGTAACGGAATATTTGTGCTGCTCAGGGTGGGTTTTTTTTTCTTCAGACAAATTTCGACTATTTAACTAGCCATTTTTGACGGAATTTGTTTATATCATTCGAAAGGTATTGTTGTCCTGAGCTCAAATTTGAAAAGATATTTCACCTGTGATTATTTTTCGTAAAGTTATGAGGGTTTAAAGATCGCCATTTTGGCCATTTTGACCAATTTGGGACAATTAACGCGCAATATAATTCGCGCTATTAACGCTTAAGCGGAGATTTAATATCGTTCCAAATTTCTATTTAATATCGTTCCACGTTTTATAAATCGTTCCAAATTGGTTGAACGAAGCTTATTTGCCATAATTGATTTGTTACAAAGAACCAAATCTAAACTTTTGTACTTTATATGGCGTTTGGGGGATGATTTTCATGAAAAAATTTCAAATTAAAAAAAAAAAATTCATTTTATTTTATTTCATTTAATTTTTTTTATGTATTACTGCTGCTCAACAAACCTTAAAAGGCAGTCGGAACATTCAGGGTTTCGCCCTGATACGAGCAGTCTTGTTTTTCTTTAGAGTTATTTGTGACAGACAAGAGTCATTTTGTTTTGTCTAGATCTAAAGAAGCCAAAAAAATAATTAAAATTCATCAAATTTGCTTTAAATTTCATCATCATTTTGATGGCAATGAAGCTAATTATATAATAATCAAAACAAAGATAGCCGGTTACGGTGCAAATAGCACAGAAAATGTTCCGACCATAGTCTTGAAAATAATACAATTTTTTTTCTTCAAAATTTTATTGTTTTTTTTTTGTGTGGGTGTAGTGTGATAAAAGACCTGAAATAAAAAATTGAAATTTAGCGTATTCGACACTCATAGTCAAATAGGCTAATTGAGAGCAGTTTTTGAAGAAAAATTTTAACAAAAACTGAAAAAAAAAATAAAAATATTTAGTTCTGAAGTTTTCGATTCCCAAAATGGCGCTTAAAAACTCCAATAAAAAAAAACTAAGTTTTAACAGGGCTTAAAAATTACTCTTAAATAAGCTTTGAAAGCCTGCACGCTCACCTCAATAGCTCGAAACTCGAAAGTTGACCAAAAATCAAAAGTTTTCAAACTGTTTTTTCTCAACACCGAGAAAATTTTTCAAAAAATTAAAATTTTGTTCGATGTGGGAAAAGGCTTTAATCTGATATATCACTCGAATTATTCCGATGATTATTTGTGGTGTTTGATTTTGCGCAGAAAACAAAAAAAACTAAAAGAAAACGATCAAAACACCGGAATACAAAATTCCTCCCCATTTTCAATGGTCTGAACAAAAAGTTTTAGGTTTTAATTCATGCTCATTTCCAAATCACCAAATAACCTGGAGATGACCAAACTCACCGAAAACCATTATCTATAAGAAAGGTACAAAGTTTTTGCACCCCTGAAAAACAAAACAAAACAACTCAATCAAGTAATTTTGAAAAGTAATTACATCTAACATCAGCAATGTCGTTGAAAAAATTTCATAGCAGCTCTGTAGTTGGTCTTTTTAAGCGATCATATAGTTCATTATAATTTAAAATAAATAACCTGACTAGCTCCATCGGGAAATAGTAACTGAAGGCTATGGACACGAAGCAGCTCATCGTGGCTAAGATTGAGATTGAGGCTGTAACCCAGAAGATTTACAAAAATTAACTGGACTAAGCATAATCTAGCTAATTTAAACATGTTCTCTCGCTTTATTCACTCGAGTAGTAATCATTTAATTTAATATTGTTTTTCTCGATACTGGGACCAGGGGCGGATTTAGGGGGGGGGGCGGACGCCGCCCCTTCAGGGATTCGACCCCCTGCGGCCTGCGGCGCAGAAAATTTTGCCAAAATAGGGGCAAAACAGTGCTTTGGGAGAGCTCGAAAAATCAATTTGGTCGACCTTAAAAAAAAGTCGTCAAAATTTTGGAAAATTTTTTGAAAATCCGCCCCCCTCGAGAAAATCCTAGATCCGCCTCTGACTGGGACACAGTTTTTTATTTTGTTCAAATCGTGACTGAAAGGGCTTCAAAATGACATATTACTCGACCCATTCCGATGTTTTTTTGTAAAGAAAAAAATAGTACACATAAAGTTTTTCCACATGTTATAAATGGCCGGAACAATAATCATAATCATAATAACAATAGTCATAATATTCAAACTAATAACTTGTAATTTTTTTGTTCAATCTAAAATTAGGATAAATAATTCACTTTTTTAATTCTCGATTAGAAATATATAGAGAGAGGACTCTATTCGGCTGTCAAATGCTTCAAGTTTGAAATACGATAGACAAAACAGTCTATTGTGGAAACAGAAAAAGCTATAACACTAGTCTTTTCATTTGTTAAGTTACTGATCCTCCACTAACTAGATTTTCAATGAAACAGATTACTTAAGTATGAAAATGTTGAATGAATGAATTGCCAAGCAAAAACCTTTTTCGAGGCATTTTGTCCTTAAATTTAGAATGAAAGTTATCTTGGCGTTACTTTCAGCTTTGTAATTGAACAGTCGAAAATTCTGAATTTTGATTAGCTTCTGCAATTTGGTGTAGATTGGAAAATTGAGTAACTTTAGCCACAAAAAAAACAGCTTAAGATTAAGATTAAGATTAGATTGAGACTATTTATTCACATAAAACAGCTTGACTTATTGTAGCACCAAGAAGACTGTTTCAGGTAAACTGGGATTGGTAAATTTCATGGTTTGCGAGTATAGCACTGAATGCTTATGAAGCGCTAAAAAATCCTTTGTTTGCGTCAAGGATGGAAATGACAGCGGTCATAAAACAGAAAACGTCATCAGCTTCTTAATTTAAAAGATATTCAACGCCGAGCGAGTTAAATGGCCGGCCTCCGAGTTAAAAGCATTGGCCCGCCTATCAGTATCAAAAAATACAAATTCTACAATTTGAACCCAATAATCGTCCAGTTAAAGTTTTTAAACCTTCTGGGTTACATTCTTTCAACCTGTCTCTATAGCATCTTTTTATATTTAGAAGCCGTTTAGGATCTACTTAACAATACCCCCATCCCTTTTTCAAAAAAGGTGAAGATTATCAATAGAAAGCTCTCTGGTGCTAATTTACTGTTTTGTTTAGAGGGGTGGAAGTTCTTTAGTAGATACCGTAGGGGAAGGGGGGTTGCAAAGTAGATCTGCAGTTTAAGCTGTGCTATCGTGATGGAGAGACAAATGCTACTGTTTATTAATGCCTAAGATCCCAATTTGCTCAAGCAGTTTATAAAAAAAATTATGATTTTGGCTTTTCAACCCAGAATTTGCATAAAAAGCAAGAGTTCCGTTAATTCCAATAAGAA